ACAGGACTGTAGATGGGATTTTAATGTCAATGTCGAGATGATATGGTGTTGGGGAATGTTGTCTGTACTGTAGCTGACTAGGTTATAGTAAAACCCACTTAAACATGATGACTTGGTTTAGTCCTGTTTGGGTGGAAGCTTTGAGGTCCTGTTCAGTTATCAACTGAGCTCCTGGCCAGTAATGCCTTCAGATTAAATAATTAGATTGCTTGGTATCGTGGTGGTACGTTGTAGTTGGTATAGTGGTGGGCGTGAAATGAGGACAATTGAAAATAAGAAATAAATGCAAGGCAGATTGTTCAATTTTTAGAATGGAGATCTTACCAAATACTGTAGCCTCTGCAGAAGACCATCTAGTCAAATCTGCTTTCATTTTATTCAGACATTTGAGCATATTCTCTTTACAAATCTGCTACAAATTAGGGAAGATTTTAATGCCTAAATAAAGTACAGCCTTAGGACTGGGACAGAGACATAGGGTGGAAGAGAAGTTGGCTTATCAGAGGGTCATTTTGATTACTGTTAATAAAAATAAAATAAAACAAAAAGTTTAATTAAACCTGACATCCATAACCTACTTTCTAAAACAAAGAGTAATCAAAATCAAAACTAAAATGAAAGAATATAGCAAATGTTATGCTGATTGTATTTTCACTGAGGTATATAGTAGGGCAAACCCAGTTTGTGATACCAGGTCACAAAAGTAACAGTAAATCATGTTAAAAGTTTGTTTGTAGTTGTGTTTAATACTCTGTGAATTGAATTACTGTTCTGTCGTTGTCCCTTTACATACCCTTTCGAATGAGCTTTTATACCTGATTAGAGCTGGTTTGATGTGACACAGCTCTTTTAATTACTGCTAGAAATCCTATGTGATTATATCAAAATTGTGAATTTTAATTAGGATCTTATCAAAACACAGGGGGATGTACTGTAGTTTAGATGCTGTTGTAAAACTCCTTCACAAACTTTTTTGCATATATAATAGCTAAAGTGTATAATATACTCCTGAAAAAAAAAGAATGAACACTGGGACTTGTTAGATGAATGACAAAAAGATAACAATAGAGGTTTCCTTAAGTGTACAGCAATTTTTATAATGGTCACCTTGTATATTCTGTTATACATTAAGACAAACTATCAAAAATAAGTACTCTATAAAGTAACATTTTATTTTGCATTATTTGTTTTACTTATGTATTTATATTAAGCAGCAAAAGAAACATATCATATCATATACGTGAACGTTTTTAGAAAATTAAAGTATGCAGCCTTAGGATTTTAATATTTTTGGATCACTATTAACTACTGTAACTGAATGTGCTACTCTTGTGATTGTTGTGAGTAACTTTGGTTTTTGGATAATTACTAAATCACTTTAGTTAGAGAGCTGATTGGGCACAGAGGATGAGGTACTTTAACCTGTTGAATGCCAGATTTAGGGAAAATTCAACAATAACACAGAAATTAACTAATATGCCCCACATATTAACAGAACAACGCTTTTTTTCCATTGGTATTTTGGAAGCGGGACTAAACTGCACTGTCATTTGTCATCTAGGGTGTTCTCAGTTGCTTGTAATCTGCCAAGACATTACAACCAAGCACATTCTGTCAATGACGGCCTGGGAGACCATGAGTCAACTCACCAAGCTAAATGGGCAGGTCTAAGTGTGATAAACAGTTCAGGAATGCCTGTTGCTGCAGATCTGGGTTTGCAGTCACTGATGGCAACCTGGTGTTACTGTATTTCGAACAAGTCCTGGGGCCTCCTGTGCACCCTTTTCTACAAAACCGTCCTGATGTGACTCTGATTGTTAAGGTTAAAGGACAGGAGGAGCACAATTCAACAGTTACAATGGAGATCCTTCTTGTTTCCACAAAACAGATTGTTTTAAAATAAATAAAAGCCTACCTTCCAAATTGATGTGGAGTATTTGCTTTTCTTCTCCATAAATCTTAAATAAAATAACAGTTTGCCATGAATTAAAATCCAAGTATTATTTGTGATTGCAGTTTTTTGAGGTTTAGAAATACTACCAGGTCCTGTCTGCTTTTTGATTTTGCGCAGTGCTTCAGCATTTTTAGAAAATAATTTACCTGAAAATGTTGTTTCTGCCTTGGTTTTCTTACATTTATGGTTTGTGAAATTTACAATACCTTGGCACCTGGTCTATACCTTATGATATTTAGAACACTGTGTATGAAAATCAGATGTGATATTCAGTTGAGGCTTCTACTCAAAAGGAAACATTTCCTTGATTAAAGTAGAGCATTTAAACAGGCATTATTTTATTTTAAAAAACTTTTAATGAAAGACTCAAACGTCTAGAAAGAAAAGTTGCATTTTCAAGATACATTTAAAGGAACCGGAAGAAAATGAATTGTAACACAACTAGAATAGCGTGCTCTGCCATGCAAAACAGCACCATTTTCTAAAAAGGCAAAAGAAAGCATTAACAAAATTATTTCTAAAGACTGATTTATGCAGCAGAATGTATTTGATTAACTTATGGTTCAACAAGTTGGAAGTGGCATATTTTATGAAAACCCTCTAAATACCATGCGGTTGGAGACTTAAAACATATTTTGGGAAGTACTTGTGACCTAGTTATTATGATTGTCTCTTTTTGAAATGCTCGTAGTGTGTGTCTCCCTTTCTTTCTCACATTGGTGAATTTAGGTATCCTCCTATCCACATCAAATTATTTAAATTGGGTGGTGGATTTGTGATGAACAGCTATAGCTTATTGTACTTTGGAGGACTATGAATATATGTTTGAATGAAGAACAAGTAATTTAATTTATTATGGATTTAGGTCAAAATGAACAAATTATAGTGTTTTGAAATACTTCGGAATTATTACAGTGCTTCTCGGTGCTCTAGTAACTAGGTCTGAAGAATGTAGTAAACAACCATAATGTTCAATAAATCCAACTGACATGTAATCTCTCATGAATGGTACCTCATTTATCAGCTCTTTGCTCAGAAGGCAGAACTTCAGTCTAGCCAAAACCAAAATATGACATGTATTTACTCCTGTTGTACAATTCATTTGTTACTTTAGTGTGTGAGCTCAATACAAGCTGTACCTTATGACACCTGTAACTCCACTTCAGTGGAAGCTAAATCTATTTAGTTACAGATTGCAGCAGACTTTTGGTACACCCACAGATTATAAAAAAAATCACTTGTTTGGGATGTTTGTTAGATGTTTCTTCCTTCTACCTGACATTAAACCATCCATCAAATGTTCTCGTAAATTTAGCTTTAGATTTTGTTGCCCAACATACAGTACAGTACAATATCACATGGTGGTGTCCCCACAGATGTCCCAATCACAGTAAGGTAAAATACCCATCAGTCATTTTTTGTTGGATAAGTGGGGTAGAACTCTCCAAGGTTTTCTGACCTTTCTGAACATTTCCTTTTTCTTGGAAGTCATTATAGCCTCAGTTGCTACAGGTTAGGTTACTTAAATCTGAAATTTGATGGTTTCATTTGCATTTCGTAGGGTCCCCATATCAATTTAGCAGAGAGGGGGACTGGGCTCTTACTAGAGCCAGGACTGTTTGTAGTGCATGAGTAGAGGATCTTTTGAAATATTGATTTAATCTGGGTCCTAGCCTGACACTCTTTCAATTAAAACAAAGGAATGGGCGATGTGAAATTTGTTGTTGTTCCCTTGACGCCAACACACTGAAAACAAGATGATTGTGACAAAGCTGATAACTTCTGAGCTGCTTGCGGGGCTCATTCTCGGATCATTACTGAATCAGAGCACTTTCTCCCCACTCTAATCCTTTCCATCTCAAACAGTCAAGTCCTTTACTGGGTTCTAGAATTACTTGCTTATTCTAAAAATATATTGATAATAAACTTCAAGCCCAACTGCATTAATGTAGGTATGGTATTGATACACCAGTAGACATTTGATTTTTAATTTATCCTGTGTTTCAGAGGGCTGCTTCACTTCTGTGGTATTTAAGAAATCAGACATCTAATGGACTGCTGAAACATAAGATTCCTCTATCTGTTAAACAAATTAAAATAATTAGAAGTGATGTAAGAGTCACTGATGATTGTTTTAAAGCCTAAGCATGTGGACATGCAAACATGCACTTGTGATAGCCATACCTCCCTAATACTGATGTGCAAACTCGATTTTGATAGGCTGTAATGTACAGACAATTCAAGTAGAACTATGGTTTATAAGAAAAAAAAGGATTTTGTAGTAATTTACTGTAAACTACAAATGTAGTTTACTAGAAATGTATTTTCTTTTTCAATTATTTTGTACACAGCAATTCATCCTTTTCTGTAAACATTCATGTATTAAAGCCAGGACCACACAAATCATTTCCATTAGATTTTTAGTGATACAGTGATAGAATTCTGGATGATTTTCAGTGAAGTTGTTCTGTAGATGTCATTTTAAAATTTCCCAAGCGGTACACACTGCAGTGCAAACAGCATCTTACTCCAAATAACGACAAAACAAATCACATAGTTTACAATAACGACATCAGCACCCTTGAGCCGAAATCAGTGATTGATTTACTGTAGCTTATTGAGGAACAAGCCTAATGGTCTGACAAGTTGCTCAGAGGTGAGCAAAACTGTTTAGGGGATGGAGCTCAGCGATGTGTCAATCATTCCGAGCTTAAAGCAAGTAGTACTGTAGGTGACTGCTTGAACCTCGTAGACGCGAACCGACACGACCGTTTTCTGTTAATTTCGGTGTCTCCTCAGTACAGTACATCCACAGCCCTTAAACAGTGACGGTGGAAAGAGGGCGCATTTTTTTGCGGATCATTCAATGTTTTATGGATTAGCCCTTCTAATGAGCTGTGAATGCAGGAGAAACACAGAGCTGGAGGGAGCTATGACTGGGTTGCATTAGGAGGGAGAGGGAGACAGATAGTGGTGTTTTTATGACACTGGATCCTGTTGTTAAATGTTCTTTCCTTTGTCTTTCACGATCATGCTTTATTTTCAGCTGGTGATAATGGCAGGAACTGTCATGCTGGCATATTACTTCGAGTACACCGACACTTTCAACGTGCATGTGCAAGGATTTTTCTGCTTTGACAGCTCGTACACGAAGCCCTATCTTGGACCGGAGGATACAAGTGCCATCCCTCCAGCTCTGCTGTATGCAGTGGTCGCGGGAGTCCCTACTCTTGTTGTAAGTTACCTCTCTTCTATTTTATACACTGTGAACTGTATTCGCTGTCCTTGGGGATAATGATCAATAGCCAAGTTCTCAATTATCAACAGTGGTTTACGGGTTCGCTCCCTAGCAATGAATGCTAGTCAACAAGGAAAAGATATGCAATTCACCAATTAAGAGCTGACAGGATGTTAATTCATTGTTAAGTTTTGTGTTTCATGATGAATTTTGATTTAAAAGGTTTAACGATTAAATGTAATGTAATCGGCCTTCTTAACATGTTGTACTAGATACTTTGCTCTGCAGTCAATATACTGTAATTGTAGCACGCGATTGTTATGCAGTAAATTGAAATCCTTTCGATTTGGACACCACAAACTCAGTAAACGAAATAACGAAAGGTACTGATTTCCACAAAAGTGTGTGCTCTAGAAGATGCCTCACTTAAAACGAAGTAGTCAAGAAGAGGATGTTTCTCTGCTTTTTCTGTAGAAATAGCTCTAGAGCATACTGTATATTGAAATTCCCGGGATTTTCTTTTGGAAACAATCCAAATCCAGATTTTGACTTTCTTTAAACTGCTTAGTCGTATTTACAATCATATACAAAAAAAATAGCCTAAGTATACTATATGTACTCTAAAACCAGTTTATAAGATAAAGAGGCTGAGTTCTACAGCATCGTTCTGTATTCATGTTTTATTCATTCATGTTTGGAAACACGCAAGCCACAGCGTTAAGATATTTTAAAAAATTAAAATAATATCTCATAACACGTTTGAGTCTGGCTAATTTCTTTTAATGTTTAGCACCACCTGCAGTTATTCAAAAGAAACCAAGTTGAATTTGATTTCAAATCATTGTTATTAATCTGATTATATTGAACCGAAATCGGTCTAATTATTGTAAAATATTAATTTAAATAATACTTTTATCGAAATTAGGGAAATAATTCATTTGCAGCCTCCATCACAATTAATGTTGTCAGTATTGCAGAAAACTGATATGTTATTGTTAGTTTTCATTTTCCTAATGGAACCTGTGACACAGTGAAATGCAACAGCATTTTAATTGCTTAAGTCACACCACTGACTACTGAAAGTACACAACTTGAAAAGGTTGAATGCACACATTTAAAAGGTCTGCCGGAGATGCCTGTCTCGTAGGGTGGAAATGGTTGTGGTTGCTGCCTCCTTAGATTTGTATTGTGAGCAACACCAAAGGACTAGTAGGCTTTAATCATGATTTCACTACAACAATTAGTAGATAGAAACAAGAAATGTTACATACAGCTAAAAGCTTTTATCAGTGGATTCTCCAATTACGTTTTAAGTTTTGTCATCTCTTTCTATTCTTAGTCTATTCTACACAAGCGTGTAAGAAAAAACACGTTAGAAAACAGCTTGTTTTTTCATTAACTGAATGGGAATGGATATTATAAATGATAATAAAAATCCCTTTGAACCACCCTTAATGTAAAGGATGAACAATGAAGCCTTTAATTTGGATGTGATGTTAAGCAGTCTGTATTATACTATGTCACACCATGAACATGTATAATGTGATGTTAAAAATATAGGTACAACAGCCTGTTTAAATGTGGCTGTCAGCATTAATTGCTAAAGTAAAATAAACAAATTATTTATGACAGTTCCTGTGACCCAAGGTACCTAAGTATGAAGGAAATGTTAAAGATCTAACATACTGATATACTCAATATGCATAGCACAGCATCTAATTGCAGGGTCTAAAAATACAACCATATAATAACAGTCTGCAACGACACCCACATACTGCAACCCACACACACAGAATTCCATCTGTAGTACACTTTTATTGTATGCAATAAAAGGCCAGGTGAAAGAGATAATTGTTCTACTGAAGTCTTTGATGGAGAAAAACAGTAACAGTAAGAATACCACTTATGTCTTTATGTTATACATTACTTCATACATTTCTCACTTTTCACATCTCGTATTCACTGTCTTTTAAAACTCATTTGAGTTAAAATTGTTGTGGGCTACATATTACAAGTATTATAGTTCATGCTGTTGAAGTGATTTTTTAAATTCAATTGATTTTTTAATGGCTTCCCTTTATGTATGGCCTATTTCGTATGGCCCATTTTGTACATGTACTTCTTTTTGAAAGCATTGAAAGGTTTTGTATAGACTGAAAGTTTATTTATTGTGACAAAAAAGGATCGCAAGGGACTGGTGTTTGGCTGACATTGACTTTTTGCAATTGATTTGTAATTGAGCAAGGTACAAAAAGATCAAGTACCGTGTCTTCTCTTGTCTCTTGAACACTGAATTGGGTCCTGATGTGTGCCATCCTGTCTTTTATTATCATTGCTGGCTGTGTAGAAGCAGCAGATATTTGTCTAAACAATGGGAGTTTTGCTTGGAAACAATGATGGATTAAACCACAGAAGTGAAAGAGAAAAATGTAAGGGTCTTAGATACACCTTTACTTTAATTTACTTAATTTAAATAATCACATAAGTAATCCTATTCATCATCGTTAACAAGTCACAGGCATTCTTAAATAGATAATTATTTAACTTAACCCATGAAACAGAGGAGTGCACACCTTGGGGGCTGAAGTAAAGAAGATCAATCGTTATTGGATAGTAAATGGCCACTTTAGATAAAGTAGCTCTTTAAAATGGTTCTTGTTGGTGCTACAAACCGTTACAGCTGTGAAAAAACAATTACTTATTTTCGTTGTTTATAGGGAGGTTAAATTATTAGTCATGGCAACAACCAGAAATCAAAATCTGCCAGCCTGATTAGCAATACATGAAGTAACAGTGGAAACTTCAATGTGAATCAATGCAGAATTTGTGCTTGTTGTTTATGTGTTCCATGTTTGTGTGTACAACAGAAAATTGGAGAGCAAAACAGGAAATGTCTTAATCAAACTATACAACGCTGTAAATTCACCATGGAATTTTTTCAGCTTTTTTATTGTGGTGTCATTTTTTTTAAAAAGAAATGACAACAAAGATACTGTACCTGAAGCACAATATTTTTGAATCCTTGAATTGGTGGCTGGTTTAAAAGTAGTTAGTTAAAAATGTTTTTCCAATATTAATAAGATGTATATTTCTGTAACTATAGTGTCTGCTTTCAGCCCTAATAGATCAGGGGACCAGCCTTAACGCTTCCACATTTACTAATTGGTAATTGCACATTAACGACATATTGTTAGACTCCACCTAATTTACCACAGTAATATTAAACTATTGTTATCCAAAGGATTCAGTACATTTATCTTAACCCAGTATCTTGTTTTTCATAGCTTTTGGTTTACTCTACCTAAATAGTGAAATGTGCAGTTATGTTTCTTGTCCTTCAAAATTGGATGGCACACTGTGATATCTACACTGCTTATTGGACTTTACCTTCCTACAGTATGTCAAACAATTTCACGTCAGGTTTTGTTATTCCAGTTGTGAAATTAATAGCAGATGAAAACACGGCACCCAGAGGCCAATTTATATCAATAATGCAGAAGCCAATGCAAACAGATTATGATCACATGGTGGAAAATAGACACAGATTTGACAAAACCCAAACTCCTTGGCCTTTAAAGGTCTTGTGGCACTGTTCATAAGAAGGGGTGTTAACCCAGTAATTCTGGACATGCAGTTTGTGACTGGGGACTGGTATTAGAGTGTATTTAGTTTTATTTGTCAAACTGGGGAAAAATTGTTGCCATTAAGAATTTTAAGATCAAAATTGTCCCATTCTCTTCAGGTGTCCCTTAAAGCTCTGTCCTATTGTTTTTAATCTATTTACTTTGATTAGACATTTGGCAAAAAGGTTTCATTTTTACTGTAACGACATCCTGCTTTACAGTACATCTCTGTACTTGTCTGATCCTATGTAAGATATCTTGATTCTATCAAACCGTATAAGCCAAATACAGGCCTGGTTGAACATTATGGTTCAGTGGTTAGCTTTGCTGCCTCACAGCACTGGGGTCCTGGGTTCATTTCTGGGCCTGGGGTGCTATCTGCATGAGGTTTGCATGTTCTCCCTGTGTTCATGCGAGAGTTCTCCAAGTGCTTCGGTTTCCTCCCACAGTCCAAAAACCTACTGGTAGGGAAAATTGGCCCTGGTTGACGTGACTGTGAGTGTCTGCCCTGTGATGGACTGGCATCCTATCCAGAGTGTAACCTGCCTTGTGCCTGTACTGGTTCCCTGACAAACCAGAACTGGAAAATGCAGTTTGAAAATGCATGGATGGATGTTTCTTTTGTTTTACCATGTAATGCCCCACATTGTGTACACTGGCACTGAAACAAATCCTTGGAAATCCTTGTAAAACCCCAGTCTACACTCTGATCTTGTATAGTCTTGTTACCTAAAGCTTCCTCTCAATTCACTTCTCCACCTGATGATGTGCTGTCTCCCAGATTGGTGCTGCACTTCAGTTGCAGATTAGGTGCCTCCCATAATATATGTTAAGCGCTTTGTGAGAAATTATAAAGAACACTGTAAAATACAAGGAATTAATACAGTGTACAGTAATTGCTAAAAATACTATTACTGCTACAGCTAATTATGTACTGTATGAATGAGAAGCCATCAAACATACAGTGTGTAATAACAAAAACAATGATAAAGATAATGTCATTGGCCAGGAAAATATGGTATTAATATCTGAACTAATTAAAATTGCATGATATACAGTACTGTTCATTCTGTAAGGGGATTTTATGAAAAATATACCTCTAACAACAGTTGCCTTAAAAATGAAACTTGCCTGCGGTAGTTATTTCGCTCAATGTCTGAGTTTGGTATTCATACTTGTCCTCTGTAGTAAGCAGATCTAAACAACTCACTTGGCCACCGTTGATTCATTAGAAAGTATATAATCAATAATTAATGTATTTGTTGAATCACAGATACATTGCAAGTGAGGGTCTACCAACAATCTGGGAACTCTACATTAATTTGGAATTACAAGATATACTCTTATCAAGGTTCCCTGAATCTAAATGGAATG